ACGAGTATACTGTAAGCGTTCCCATGGCAACTGGTCATCATTTGTGTGATTGGGAGGACTGGAAAGGAATCCTTTCTTACGTCCCGCTCCAGACGGCGTTAAGTGCCCGGCCCGTTCTGCTTGTACTGAGCACCCGCGGCTCACCACCAAATGTTGAGTCATGAAATCGCGGAGCACGAGCTGATCTCGTAATGATTAAATATTTTGCTGACAGCACAATTTATGTTGCAGCTCCGTTACACGGTTTTCTCCGCTCTCGGGTTACTTGTTCTCTCATTGGTCCAAATCTTATCTTCAGCATCCTGTTCTCACACACCCTAAGTGGTGTTGATTACGTAACAGTCAAAATACTTTCACCTGGAAGGACAAACGTGACAACAGAAATTTCGAAACCCTCTGTGTTAATCTCGAGTGCTGTGACGTGGTTTTGATTACCTCGACGGATTTTTCTGGGCGGATTATGGACAAGCAGGATTCGTTCGCAAATTTATGTGGAATATTTTAGCGCCTTGCGGTTGCTGGAATCCATTTCATTTTATAAATTTCGCTCCGTTGATGTATGTAGACCTGGTTCCCGGCTTCGATAGAAGGTCTTTAAAATTAAGCACGGCTCTTGTTTAGGTGAGCGGTTGGAGTGTTCTGTGAGCACTGACTTCACGTATCGAAATGGACCATCTTGTCGATGTGTGCATGAGTCACACAATATTCTCAACCTATGGCACGTGTACCACTGGTACTACGCGAACTACGTAAGAAAATCGAAAGATAATTCAATTCAATTCTTTATTATTTGTGTGCTGTATCAACAGCCTGATGGCCAATTACAGATACAGCACAGAGACGAGCTCACGAACACAATGAAGACATAAAAGGTAAAACAAGCAATATATAAAATACAGTGATACATAAATAAGTTTTCCCTGAACGCATTTAATGTGTTAAATTAGAATTAGTGGTACGCCAGCGGAAAAAGGTTGAGAACTCCTGCTCTAGCGCGACCCACGTCTAATTCGATTGCGTTGACTTCTTCTGCGTGTTTCGCAACGTCCCGCCGCTATGTTCCGTGATTCCGGAGTTCCCGCTGTGTGGACAGGCCACTCGTGTCGCCCAGTCTCTTCCTGCAGCTTTGGTTTTTGTTAGCCGATTGCCACATTCGCTGTAAGTGGACCGGTGCAGCCAACACCTCACAAGCGGCCTCCTGCGTGATGTCTCCGTCTCCAGACGCTTCCTAACCGCACAGTCATCATCACCTTCTGCTCATTTCCTGTTCTCTGGTGCCACCTCGGTCGTCTCATTTATGCTTATGATTATGATTATCACCGCCGCTGAGGCGGTGATAATTTGACCACGAAAGGTCAGTTGTACAGTCATGATGAAGAGAGATGCCACCAAGAATGTTGCACAGTTGCGAAAGTATGACGTCACACGTGGAATCGGTGCCGAGCCTGAAGGCACTAACGAGGTCTCTGTGTGTGACGTCATACATTCTCCACCCCCGCCGGGACGATTTGGGCAGGCGACTCTAGGACTGCGTCGACCTTGGCCTCGATTCCAGCGAAGGATATAATTCGCTGTCATTAAGTCATCATCACGATGAGAGAGAGAGAGAGAGGTCTTGCAGCCCACTGCAGTCGACGGTCGAACGCAAGTTTTTCCACACGACGTGGAAATAATAGCCCACTGCTATCTGCCGCGGCAGAACACAAAGCAGACAGGACCTTCGTGTGCTGACTGCATTTGAAGACGTCTCATTCCTTGTTGGTGTAAAAACAGTTTCCTGTCCGTTTGTGTGAATTTCTGTTGCCTCGTGGATGGGGTAAGAACATGAACGAGGCGGAGACGGGTTGATCATGTCGATGAGAAATTAAAACACAGTTCTGGTCATGCGTAGGCGTGTATGGAAGGATAATATTAAAATGAATCTCAACCAGGTTGTAGATTGGATTCATGTGGCTTAGTGTGAGGTCCAGAGGCTGGCTGTTGTGAGCACCACAAAGAGGCGTCGAGTGTGAATTTCTTGAGCGACCATCAGCTCTTGAGACACGCTCGTTTTGAGGAGGTTCCAAAAGATGGCGCGTCACTGGGTCCTTTGCCGAGTTCCAGCTTCCCTGTCATTTTTTTCTCCCCATAAAATTAACATTTCTTGCCCGGGAATTTCTTCTTTGCAATGAAGAAATTGGTCAGAATGACCGAACGTCGGCCATCTTGATAATGATTGTGCTTTCAGGGATGGAGGCGCTGGAGACGGCTATCAATTACTGGGACGACGCCCTCGCCGCGTACACCTCCGGTGGAGGTGGGCCGCTTGCCGTCACGAGCAGCGAAGAAGCAGGGTTCTGTAAGGACCTGCAGGGCCTCGTAGACTCTGCGTACAGACTGCAGGACCAATGCGAGCTGCTGTTCTTGGATCAGGTGAGCCGGACGACTGTCCCCCGGACTGTGATTATCATCCTCCCTGCTAATGCACTTGAATCTGTCCTTTTGTGCGTTACGATGGCTTTTAGTTTCTACCCATGATTCTGTCCAGAGGGATTCATAAGCTCTGAAACACCAGCAGCTAATTTACGTTTTGTGTCTGGAAAGAGAACACGTGTCTATGACCTTGTGATGCTACCTGCACGTGAACTTCCGTCTCGTTGCAGCGATCTGTGTTGTTTCGCACCGACAGCTCGACGCGTCTCCATGGAGACCCCAGCACAGCCCCCACGTCTTCTCCGGAGTCCTTCGTCTCGGCACATGACGAGGTGAGTACCGTAAAAACATTCGGGAGAAGGTTCAGATTAAATTCGGTTTGTATTTCCCGTTTCGTGCCTAAAAACGTAGAGATTAAAAAAGTACAAAATACTGATGATGGAGGAAGCAGGGACCTCTGAAACGTCGGTAAACTTCTTCCAGGCTACACGCCGCAACAACCCAGAAGACAGACATCTGCAAAGCTATAATTTTACTTCTCGTTTTGTGTGGGTGTGAAATTTTGTCTTCCGCCCCGAAGAACGAGAATAGCGGCAAACCAATGACCCTACACGCACAGTCTGACATTTGATATTGACCCTTGAGGCGCTAGTGCGCCTGATCTGTCCGTTCAGCCTCATTACACCTCTCGGAGGGCGAAAAACACCTGCTCGACTTGAAATTATCGAAATTATCCAATGACTTTAAACATCGATAGGTCGATTAGGCTTGACCATTACTCGATCACAAAACCAAATGCACACGGGTTCAGTACAGAACTAACTAGCAGTGTTTTACTGTTGTAGGTTATTGCTTGAAGAACAGTTCAAGTACACACAGTTTTTTAAAGTAAGAAATTAAAGAGCTTTTAAGCAGGATGACAGACATTTTAACAAAAAAAACTCAGTCAAGGCTCTGTGTCTCAAACTGTGCTGTTTTCGCAACAACCGGAAATGACATAGCCTGTCCTTGAGAAGGACGCCAACAGGTATAAATGTTTGTTGACTGTCAGTAATATCTGATCCCGTGCTAAGTGGTATATAGGCTACGCTAGATTGAGTCTACAGCAGATACTAGGCCTGTGTAGGCAAGCGTTAGGCATTTGAAGTTGTCTCACGTGACCTGCTCGTCCCCGAGAGACAAAAAAGACGCGATCCCAACAACACCCCGATTTTTCGCCTTCTCCTTAATAGATAGCAGCTATAAGTAATTGTCGTTTGAGATGTTGCTATTTGTTGAAATGTTTGGTTCAAGTGTTTCGGAGGAACATACTGCCTCCATCTTCGGGGTATTTTGTTTCTTATCCTCCCTCATCCTGTATTTGACCCCCCAACCTCTCTACAATATCAACTTGTTAATGCTTTGTAGGGAGGTAATTGATTATTATATTCTCAGATTCATATGAATGCCATAAACACGCTCTTTGTGTAAAATCTAGCGTTACTGAATGTTAAAGTACGTGGTACATATAGTTGCCACTTTGTATGAAAATGTGCGTCATAACAAGGAAAGAATGTTTTTTGCTGGTGCAGTGTGACCATGTCGTAACATCCTAGCAGCCAAAGAACCATAAGAAACAGGTGATGGTGTATTAAAATGTGGTTGAGAAATGATGCTGAGGAGAAACCACTTTGGAGCTTTCTGCACTGATGGTAAGCTAATAATAAATAAATTGAGTGTGAAGATGTGATGCAAGCTTCTCTGATGCTGTAATGAACTGTCAGGTTCCATAACAGCAGATAAATCTGTGAAGAGTGTGCTTTAAATTAAGAATTGATACAGCAGTGAATGATGGACATTCATCGTCAAGTCTCAAAAGTTAATGGCGTCGATGGTGACCAAGATGAGTGGAGCAAAAGACAGCCTGTGGGTTGACTGTGGAGGAACACTGTTCCAGTTTCAGTGCAATATGTTTGAACGAATGAGGTTAC